CTCTAAGAGTGCTCAGTTGTCTAAAAAGAGCAAATGCCAACATGTATGCTCACCGTATAATATATACATAATGCCAATTATATACTGACAATTATATAGTTATATATATATTATATGCTATATATAATTTTCTATATTCTATGTGTAATATAGAAAATATATGTATTATATAGAATACCTTATATATTCTATATTCTATATTAATATATAATGCCAATTATAGACTTACATACAACTAATTGCCCAATAACTTCCAGGTTGAGAAGACCTTCCATTTCCTCTAGACTGTCCAAGTAGTTCTCAGTGAGAATATTTCCCTAGGGTTGTGCTGTTGTTATCCTTATAGGGTTTTTTTTACTCTGTCATTTAAAGTGTACACCTAATAGGGACATTGACATTATCCCATGTTAATACACTTTGGCAGTGGTACATTTCATGTCTTTATCTGATAAAAAAACAAGCAAGAGAATGGATGTCTGGTTTCTTAATGTTCTACTAGGAACAAGACAGTGTTCTGCTGTGTCAGAGTTATGCCACAAAGTGAATGTTATTTCTAGGGTTCAGCAAAATCAACACAGCTAACTTGAAACTGAGCTTATGTCTTTTTGAACCAGGTTCTGAGATTTCCTTTACTTTCTCTCCAACCTCATTTGAAGAAATGCAACTGAAACATGGCTCTGGCATTTTGCAACACTTCAAAAGAATAAATTCCTGCTGGCATGTGATTTGCTGAAAACACATGCTAAAGCCATGGAGCCATCCTCATCTGCTGAAGTTTTAAATGTATGCTTACAAGCCAGAGTGCTTCACAAAATCCATGTGGCCTTTGTGCTCTGCTGCTCTGACAAATGGAGAACATAATCAAATAAATGATGGAAGAGGAAGTTTTGGCTTTGTTTATTTTTTTTTACGGCCTCCTTTCTATTGTGACTGAGAAGAGAAGCTGATATCTCCCTGCTCTACTCCCCAGCAGCTGGGAGAAATGTCAAAAGGGTGATGGCTGTTGACACGACACTTACCTGTTGTGTGCCACAATGACTTAACCCAGACTGCTGCAAGACAAGAACTGTGAAAAGCAAACAAACAAACAAACAAACAAACCAAAAAAACCCCACACAATTTTATACACATAACACTTATTTTTCATATTGTTATGTTTGGGTTGAAAATTAGGTAAATGGAGTACATCCATACAAATTCTTCATGCTTTCTCTATCTCATTAACTCCATAGCCTAGGCAAATGAGAAATGCTTGTAAAATTGCTGTATTTTACGTGCAGGCTAGAGACTGGAAATGCATGGAACAGAATGTTCAAGAAACTGTATTGTTCTTGTTCAGTGTCATTAGTGGCCATGTAGTTTGATTCTTACGAGTTAATGACACATAATAACAAAGGTTATTTTCAAAACTTACTGCAGATCTTTTGCTCAGCTCGTTTCTGTGGGAGATAACCAGATTTATTGAGATAATGCAGCAGATGTTATTCAGGGAATGACTATCAAATGGAACCAATATCTGTAAAATAATCTATTTTCTAAATGCAAGTTGCATTCTCTACAAGTTTTTCTTCACAGCACAGCCACTTTGCAAAACTCCGCCTTTCTATTTTGCAATTCCTTGACTCTGCAAAGAATCATCTGAACTTTACTTGACTCCACCACCCTTCCAAACACTCATTTTTTTCTGAATGTGGGTCTTGTTCTTTTATGAGTGCCACAGAAAATTAATTGAGGGGTCTTCTATTAATTGCAGCTCTTTTTCTGTCCTACACCATGAATTCAAATGCATTTCAGATCCAAACTGAATAGGAAGAGGCTTTTTGTGTTAATACCTTGCCTGGTCTGGAAGGGACTCCTTTCTGACTATCAGCACCAATGGTAGGATTTTTTTCTAGCTCTGTGTGTCAATACTGAGGTCACGTGGGGCTAAAATGCAACAGGAGGTGCATGACTCCTTTATTTAAACACAAGCACACTAAAATTACACCTCAATTCCTCTACAAATCTGCAGAGGTCAGTGCTCCTCAAACTGCTTGTAAAGTCAGCACTGGTGGCAGAGGGGCCTCCATTCTCTTTCCATCATATCAACTACAGAAATACAGATTATACTACTTTCATAGGCCTTCTCAGTAACTGAATATATTTTTCTAAAGAAAAACAGGCACAGGAATCTCCACCACAACACTTCAACATGATTTCAAATGCATCCGCTCCTTTACCTTTTTCTCTACAAACACTTCTTGAAATTAACAGAGACTCTTGTGTGATTAAGTCCAGTTAGGTGGAAGAAATACCTGAATACATCAGAGGATATTTTAAAAATGGCAAACCCATCTTTTTCCCTGCATAGCTATTGGTCATTGAAACATTGGCAAGATATGTCTGAACTCAAAAAAGTAGTAATAGAGTGAGGAATGTATTGCAGCACATTGCTGTTGTCATTGTCCCATGGATTTGAAGATAACTCCTTTCCTGCTGACCTTTTCAGCTTTAATATCAAGGTTGGGAGCACTTTGAAGTGCTGATTTTCCCTCTCACACTGTGTGACAGCAGACATCCTTTGCCTTATATCCCTTAAGGATTAACAAGCGTAAACCAAGCCTGTCCCAGGACAGCCATGAAGAGAACCTCACAAGGCACAGATGACAGCAGCTGGGAAGGTTCAACAGAATAAATCTTAAATCTTAATCTTTCAAGAATAGAGCTCAGGAAGCTGGCAGGCCCTACAGAAGTTTGTGCTTCCACATCTCAGGTGCTTTTGTATTCCTCCTAGACATATCTGTCTGGCTATGTCTGCTGAGTTCAGCTTACAGGTCTTGCAATTAACACCTTCTAGTGGAGAAATACCACTTCTTCTAAGAGGTTATTCTCTCTAGGAAACTGGTGTTTCAATGACAGCAAGAGCCTGGAAAAAAACCCAGCGTTTAAGTTTGTCCCCTGCTGCCAAAAGGACAGGGCAAGTGAATAAGCAAGCATGTTTTAGATCTTTGATATTTTGGGGGAAAAATAAAAAAAAATATACAGTATTTTTTCTGTGGGCGAAATGTTGGGAGGTCCTAAAATATTGGGAGATCCTAAAAATGGGTTCATTTTTCTGTGGGTGAAATGTTGGGAGACCCTAAAATACTCTCCTCTCTATTATATTTGTGTCCTCCCCAGACAATGGAAGGAAGGAATGATGAATCTGATTCCATGTTCTCAGAAGGCTAATTAATAATTTTATTATATTAATATTAAAGAATACTATACTATATTATATTAAAGAATACTATACTATACTATACTAAAGAACACAGAAAGGATACTTACTCAATGCCAAAAAGGTAATAATGAAAACTCCTGACTCTCTCCAGAGTCTTGACACAGCTTGGCACTTGTTGGCCGAAGAGTCAAAACAACTCACAGCAGAATCCAATGAAACAATCACCTGTGGGTAAACAATCTCCAAACACATTCTACATGAGCGAAACACGGGAGAAATAAATCAGATGATTATTGTTTTCCTTTTTCTCTGAGTCTTCTCAGCTTTCCAGGAGAAAAATCCTGGATGAAGGGATTTTTCAGAAAATGTGCATGTGACACCTCTGCAAGGGAGGAAAAACTCAGTGGGCATAATTTTATCAAGTGAATCATATCTCTGTTAATGCAAGGTGCCTACTGAGCTGCTCTATCCAGCTAGCAAGGTCTGGCTTCTTCCTGTGAAGCAGGACTGCAGCACATGGAGCTGCTGCTCTGGAAGGTAAATGTTGAAAATAACACATCCTCCTCCCTAATCCTCCACCCCCACTTAACTTTTGTGCCTGAATGCTCTGGACTGTCCATTTGGTCAGTCTGGGGCAGCTGGCGTGGCTGTGCCCTCTCCCTGCCCCTCCATGGCAGGGAATGTTGAGAGACAGAGTGGAGCTGTGCCAGCCCTGCCCAGCAGCAGCCAAGGCTGATGTGTTATCTGCTCCTTCCAGCTCCCAGGGCAAAGCACAGCACCGAGGGATGCTCTGGCAGCATGAACCCTGCCTGATATGAGTAGAAAAGCTGCCAATTTTTTTAAAAGGTTGCAGAGTTCACAGGCTGGGCTAGTTGCTGCCAGGGTGGAGTTCTAACTGTTTGTTGTTGTAATCACCTGTCGTTTTCGTTAACTACCTGTCCTTGATGGTTCAGAATTCCCCCCTTTTGTCGAGTGTCACCCTGCTGCTTCCTGGAGGATGGCACCCAAGGACGGTGAAGAGGAGGGGACATCGGAGTTGGCATGCAAATGACATGGGAACCAGCATGTAACAGGAGAAGGCCCTCACCAAACGTAGCCAAAACCCCCTATAAACAACGAGCCAACACAAAATTGACAAATCAAAGTGATGTGAGGAACAGAATCTAGTTTCCGCTATGACCTTTTTTACTCTTCACCCTAACCTAAAAGATGTCAGCTAGAGAACAGAGGACCTCAAATGTTAAAGTGAAAAATTGGGGAATGTCTTTATACTCTCGTGAGGACCGAGCCCCCAGCTCCGCTCACAGACCAGTGGACGAAGCTGCACTCTTCCTCCTCCTCCGAGTCACTCCTGGGAGCAGTGGCAGCGTGAGCCCAGACCAGTCGGTTCTCCTCACCCTAGCTGATCACTTTTAATAAAGGCATTAAAAGGAGAGAGGTCGCCTGCCCGTGTTTATTTCACAGCCCAGCCAGACCCACTGCACCAGGGGAGCAGAAGCATCTCCTCTGTGACCAGGTGTCTCTGGGATATTCTAAATATGGCGCATTTGTTTCTCTAATGAGCAACTACAGGGCTTGTTTAGATATGCAGGGCAATTGATGGGTGCAAACAGGAGCTAGAAATGAAACTCATGAATATGTGAAGCATTGCTTCCCAAGCAAAATATGAATGCTGGACACAGGCAATTAAGCACTCCCTGTGTTTTCTGGATAAATATGCAAATTTGACATTCAAATCAGACTTCTAAAAAAAAATTTCACCTCAGTTAAAGCACTAAGAACATAAGCAGTCCAAAGCTTAAGTCTTTTTGCTCCAACTTTAATTGCTTGCCATAATTTCTGTTAAGGGCAAGGCACTTTAGTAGGTTATCATTCTGCTCCTCCCAACTGTTTCAAAAGTCAAGTGTGGTTTCCCCTGACACATCACATAGTGGATGGAATTTTTAGATGGAGAATTTACAGCAGAGTAGCATGCAGGGAATTCATTAAAGCTGGGAGAAGGAAGTCACTGCAAGAAGGTGACAGTATTGTTTGCATAATAGGTTTGCCTGTTGCAAACTAAGACTAGCTACAGAGCTGCCTTAATAAATTACATTTTTTGGTAGTTAAAGAGAAGCATTTAGCAGGTTCTGGAAGAAAGAGAACCAAGTAGTCGATCATATGAAGTAGACAAAAAAAAAAAAGTTATGGGATAAGCTGTTAAAATGTGTTTATACAGATATACACTGCTGTTAAATGCAGATTTACAGGACAAAGGACTCTAATGACCTCTAATTCAGTGGTCAAAAAAGGCTTTTGGGAAGAGGGAATTTCATGTGCCACTTCTCCCTCACACGAATCTGCTGCAGACAGGGTCCCAATCTGGAGTTAGCATTTTTGGTGGGGATCTAAGTTTCTGCCTCTTTCAGTACAGTTTGTTCCATTATTTGTGACTTCAGTACTCTACCCTAAAATGAGATTTTATGATATCATATTTTAAGGCCACAGGTTATTAACACCACTGAACAAAAGGCATCATAATCCTCCACAACCCTTTAACTCTGCTTCAGAATGATTTTAAGGGCTCAAATCAAACTATGGGGCAATTAGCTCTTGGAGCTGACCACAGGGAAAGATCTGTGTTGCAATTCCAAAGTAACTTTTTTAGTCTTTTGGTAATGGACACAATCATTTATGAGCAGCCTGTTCTAGTGGAATGGGTAAAGGGGCTGCAATTAGATGATCTTTAAGGTCCCTTCCCATAATTCTGTGATTCTATGAAGTGAAAATAATTGCAGAATATTCTTTTTCAATTTAAAGTGGAAAAGAACCAGAAGAGTTGATGCTACCTGAGGAAACCAAGGTGTCCTGCTCTGTAGGTGAAAGAAGGTGGCAGGGAGGGAAAGAGAGTACAGTGAAATAAAGAGCAGGCTATGTCCACTGCACCTCTGGATGGTATGGAATAGAGACTCCACCTTATTGTGAAGTGTCTGAGCCAGGGACTAATGAAGTCAATCTCTTTCATTGGGAGGGTGAGGTAGGTCAGACTCAAAACCCTCCTTGGCTGATTTAAGCTCCCTTTGGTGTGAAGGAGCTGCAAAGCAAGTTCAGCCTAGGACATCACTAGAGAGCAGAAGAAACCTGAAGGAAAGAGCAGAAAGGCATTAGCATAGCAGCAAATCTCTTTTTGTACATTTTGTGGGTTCCTCTGTCACACACATGCGATGGAAAGGTCCGATGGACATTGCAGTACCGAACTCTGCCGCTCTGGTGCTGCTGCCCATGGGCTCCCCGGCGCTGTTGATCCATCTCAGGCACACACTACGTCTCTCCTTTGTTTTCTGCCAGATTTTATCAGTCTTAGAAAACGGACAGTACCCTTACTGAATGCCTTGAATCCCAAATCTATTTGACAGTCACTGCAGGCTTGATGTGCAGCGGTCTTTGTTAAGGAAAGCACAATATTTACATAAACAGGTTGACCTTTTAAACCTCATTTTGTCAGGAGGAGCTGAAGGGGAGGAGATAAGGGGAGAGAAAGGGGCAGAGGAGCCTTTGCTACCTGTTGCTGTAAGAGAAATCATATCCTGAGGCAAAGAGACCTTTTGTTTTTATAACTGCATAAAGAATCGTATCTATATCTACATATTTAACAGCCACTACACTTGAAATGTACACTGAATTATTCTCTTTACAAACCATATAATCCTTCCTTCACTCCTTTTCTTATATCTTCGCTAAAGAAAAAAAAACCAATAAAGCCCCAAGCAGCGTAAATCATTGCTAAGATCAGCTCACTCCACGATTCTTTAGCATAAGAGTGATGAGATATGCTGACAGGAACAAACCAATGCGATGCCAGAGGAATCTTGGGTTCCTGCGGTTTCCGACTTTTCCCCAGCAGATTCTGGAAACCTCAACCTGCCAGGCTGGCAAACAGACACGAAAGCTTCACACTGGTGCTTATAGAGACAATAGAAAGAAGACAAAAAGCTTCTTAATAAAAACCCAGAATTGCCATCTCATTTAAAGACCGCACAGAGCGCCGCAGACGAGTGCTGCTGTAACTCTCCATATTGCCTGGCACATACATCACATAATCTCATGGTTACTGCGCTCATTGATCCTGCTGAGCGTGAGCTGCACCCATCCCCTGCTGCCCTGCAGGGATGCCAGAGCTCCGTGCACGCTTTCCTGACACGGACTGCCTTTCACTTTACCCGTGCTCAGCTCTCAGCCCCACTATACCCAGGGAAAAGCATTTTTATTAGCCATGAACGCATGTCTGTTCACAGCAGAAAAGGGACCAGGAGAGGGGGGTACATACGTCAAGCTCCATAAATGCTGGACCCCACACACCTCAAAATTCCGCACGCATTCCGGAGCCACTATGTGAGGAAAAAGGTGATTTTTCCAACGAGCCATGTCATTATTTCCATACCGAGAGCCCGGAAGCATCGAGAAGCGGGGGAAATGGAAAGGAGATGCTTCGCTTACCCCGGGCAGGAGAGGGACTCGGGTGATGAGCGAGGGAATTTCCGCCCATCCCCTCTCCCTGCAGCACGGTCGCTCCCAAAATCCCCTTCCCTGCTCGGGGATCTCCACATCCCTTCCGAGCGAGAGCGGCGCCGGGCGGGCAGCAAGGCTGCGGAAAATACGAAATAAAAAGATGAGAAACAAAGGGCTGGCCGAGGGTGGGGGGCAGGTATGTTCTTACCCGGTCGGGATCGCCGCCGTG